CTTTTTGAGGCTCTCTTGAGACCGTCTTGGAGGCTTCTTGTGGGGTCATCTTCGAGGCCTTTGGGGCCATCTTGGGGCGATCGCTGGGGCCTCTTAGGCCGTCTTGGGCCGTCGAAGGCATAACAACAGGACATGCTCCCTTGCTTGGCCTCTTCGGGCCCTTCTGGATGACCCATTGGAATCGTTTTGAGCCGTCTTCAAGGCCTCTTGGTCAAGGCAACCCGTGGCGATTCCGTTCGAACAGCTCATGCATCTCATCGTGCCCTCCCTGAAGCAGGTCACAGAGGAAGAGGGCATGAAGGCCCTGCTCGCAAGGACCCGCGTCGTCGTGACCACGGACACGCGCGTGCACTTCCGCTTGGCATCCGGTGAGTTCCCAGAGTGCGCAGCCCAACCTTTCTACTCATACAGCAAGAAGTCAAAGCCTGACCTCTTCAGTTGCTCGCCCGAGACGCGCGCGTGCTTTGGCAGGTGCAAGGGCCACCTGGCCTGGCAGAACAACTGCCCGTCTGACTTCAAGGAGGAGACGGATTGATCCTCAAACTTTGCGAAGCGCCTGATGCGGGGCGAGGACGTGCCCACCGTGCCGGTCACCCGCGGGACCTCGCTCTTCGGGCAGCCCGTGCACAGCGTCCAGCCAGAGGTCGTGGCCCCACCAGTGGGCGGTTCAGTCAGCGGCGCGGCTTCTTCGGGCGGCCTGCCAGGGCCATTTGCGGCCGCTGGCATGGAATGTACTAGCGAGCCGAGCGACGTGGGCGCGGCCGAGCAGAAGGCCATCCACAACGCGATGCAGCGGCAGTTCTTTGAGGGTAACCAGAAGGACAGCGGCGCGTTGGTTGACCTGGCGTCGCCTGCGTGCAAGCGCCTGGCGACGGGCGCCAGGGCCCCCTCGCGGTGTGGCGGCGAGCTCGGCGACGTGGACATGGCTGAGCAGGCCGCGATCTACGAGCAGATCCAAAGGGCGTTTCTTCAACCATAACTTGGCGGGCTCTGGCGCGCAGGTGGACCTCGCTACCCCTCCCTTTGGGCGCCCTGGCGCGGCGGGCGACGACTTGGACCTGGAGGCCGAGCTCGAGCGCCATCTCGACATGGGGGATGGACGCGCCCGCCAGCACGTGGAGGAAGCGGCGAGCAGGCGGAAGAGGACGCCGCGGACCAGGGCGGCGCCACTGCAGATAGAAGTGCTGAGTGAGCGGGGTACCCATGCGCGGGCAGCGGAGCCGCTTTAAGCTCGGGCAGTGACGGGGCGCGCGCCGCCGAGGGGTGGCGCGCCGCTGGTGTCCCAGATGAGCCGTTAGTGCGCTGCGTGGCCCTTCGCATAACATGTTCCTTCTTGATGCGCGCCTGAGCCGACTGATTGGAAAATTATCGTCGTCGTCGCCGCCCGCGGCATGCGTTCGAGCCGCCAGTGCCCGGCGATATCGGTATTGCTCAGTTGGTCATCAGATGCTCTGATAGCAGAGGCCGCCGCCGCCGTCGCCAGAGCTGTCTGCGCCGCCGCCGCCGTCGCTGCCGTTGTCTGCGCCGCGCGTGCGCAGCAGTTGTTCTTGCTCGAGCGTGCTTCCGCGCGCGGCAGGAACCGCCCGCTGCCGGGGGGGGGCAGCTGACGGACGCGAAGGGGGGCGCTGCTCGGAAGATGCCGGCTGCCGCCGCGCGCGGCAGGAACCGCGCCCGCGGCGACCCTTTCCCCCAGAACCGCAGCGAGCGCTCGACCCAGGCAGCAGAGCGGAGCGACCCGGGCCGGCCCGCAGGGCGCGCGAAGCCAGACAAGGCCACGCGCGAGCGCCTCGAGGCTTCCGGCTTTCTCTGCACGCCGACGAACCATATGAGTGCTCGGGTTCGCCCCGGCCACTCGGCGCTGAAGAAGGCGCGCTTGCGACGACATTCGGGCCGTGGGCCTGAAGGCTGCCCGTGGCTACGTGGTGCAGGCGGGCCACCTGAAACAGGCCCGATGACAACGCGCGCCCCGCGTGCGGGTGGTCCGCCGGGGCTGCGCGCGGCGCGGGCGATCGGCGCCCGCGCCGGCGACGTCGGCGGAAGTCTTGCGCCGTCCGCAAGGTCAAGGTCACGGGCGTCGCCTGGGCTTGCGCGGAGATCCCGCTGCCGAAGAGGCGCCCTGACGGCGCGCGCGAGCGCCGACGACGTTGCGCTAATCGTGAAGGTGGGCCACGAACAGTGCGACACGGTGGTGGGGATGTTGCGCGGCATCGCCTCTGACGCATCCACCGAAGAGCAGAAGGGCGTTGCCGTGCCGGGGCAGTGCGAGACCGACGCCGCAACGGTCCGCGTCGTCAAGCCGGAGAACCGCAAGATGACGCGCGCGCGGGCTTTCGGCGTGCGCAGGCGGGGCGACTTCGCGCAGACCATCGCGTGCATGTTGCCCCCGCTCTACTCTGTCCAAAGAGGGCTCGCGCGACCCGAGTCCATGCCCGAGGCGGAGCCTGAGGCTCCGCCTCAGGCTCCGCCTCGGGCCTGAGAGGCCCCGAGCCTCTCACCATGTGCCGCGCGGGATGCGACCCCCTTCATCTGGCGCGCGGGCGGCGCCGGGTGCTATCGGGGCTGTGGCCGCGATGCCCGCGTGCTGCGTTCCAAGCGCCAGTGGGTTGCCGTGAAGGACTCGGTGCTCAAAGGGTGGTGACGCGCTGCGCTGTCGCGGCCCCTTCCAGCTGAGGGGCGGCCCGCGGGCCCGCGCGAGAGGCCGCGCCCCGACAGCGATGGGCGCGTGCGCTGCGGAGGCCATGGAGAACTTCCCCATGTGGGTGCGCCGCTGGGCATGGGGGTGGAGGCGCGCTAGCTGCCCCGCCGCGTTCTTGGGGCTGGGGTCGGCCGTGCTTCTGGCCAGGGGGCGCGCCTGCTTGTGGTGGATGGAGCCGTGCGCTGCGCTCCGCTCTGATGGTGGAGCTCTGCCCCGTGGAATGCGCGTTCTTTCCCGTTCCGTCTCGGGCCCCTTTCCATTGCCAGCGGTTGCATTGGAGCTCCAAGCCCGCGCCGCAGCGAAGTGCCGCGCGGTGATTCACGGGCGCTCGCGCGTGGCGCGCGCTTATTGCGCGCCATTTGCTGGGGGGGCTCTGCGTCGAAAGCGCGCGCGTCGTGTGTGGGGTGGGGGGGGGGGGGGGGGGGGGGGGGGGTGTCTCGCTTTCTCCTTCTTTTCTCCCCCCCCCTCTCTCTCGCTCGCTCTTGCCGTGCTCGCAGCTTCTTGCTCCCGTGGCGCCGGGGGGCCTCCCGCAGGAGTTCCGCGGCGTCGGCTTCAATGCGCGGTGCAAGCTGCTCATGAATTGCTGGGCCCTCTTGAGGTGGCTGAACTTCAGACAGCTCGCGACGTCGGTTTGCCCGAGCGCGGATGGGGGGGCATCGTGTCATCGCGCTGCTCAGCGCGACCCTGCGGATTGTGAGGACTGCGCGCAGAGAAGTATCGACCAGCTTGGAAAAACGCCATCCCTCAGACTTCATCTGGGTGCTGGACCTGGGATGTCGCCGCGCGCGTCGGCGTTCGATTTTGGCGCGCGCGCGGAGCAAGCTGCCCTTCTCGAGAAGCACGTCAGCACGACTCTCTTCGACTTAGTGAAATTGTTGGAGTATGTGCGCCACGGCCAGCTGCTGCGTGAGCGCGCGCTCCAGAGTCTCCATAAGGGACTGGCATTCATGCTGTTGCAGGCGTGCCGGAACCCGCGGGCGGTCGTGGCCTGCTAGTTGCTGGCATCCTCTCTCTCCTGGTTCCAGGGCGTCCTTGCGTGGTGCGGGCTCGCGACGACCATTGTGCGCGCGCTCGTGGCGAGGGTGATGCGCGCCGTTATTTCGAGGGGGCCCTCAGTGACGCCGTGCGCCCTCATCGACGACGTCTCCCTGCAGTGGGTTTCCGACGACCAGAGTGCCGCACGGCAGCTCTGGCAGGCTGCCAGTGGTATCTTCCTGGCCGTGAAGCCTCTCGGGCTGCTCCCGCAGCCGGCCGGCGGGGCTGCGTTGCCACTTCGCCTGCTGCTGGGGTGAAGTTCGAGTGCTGGGGCGAGCGTTTCAAGTGCAGGCGCCGCGCCCGCGCGTGCAACCTGGTTCGCGGGCTCAGCGGGGCGGCGACCGCGGGCCGGCCCAGCAGCGCGGTACCTTCGGGGCATGGCCGCCAAGGCCGGCAGGGCCAAAGGCGCCGCGGAAAGCGGCGGGCAGCCGCGCTGCCTGCAGGGCCTGGCGCATTGGGGTCCCCCTGGTTCTGCGCGCAGAGCCTCCTCCACCATGAGCGGGGCGGGCCCCGATGCGCTGGGGTCCATGGCGGGCGCGCTCGCGGGTTGCAGTGGCCGCGGCCCCCTCGCGCCCCGGCCGCGGCCAGGTGCGACCAGTTCGACCCATCGTCGACTGCGCTTTCAGCCTTCTGAACAGCTGCGCCAGCCGGCCGTGGCTCGGCCGCGATTGCGCCAGCGGGTTGCGACGAGCGCGGGGCCCGATGGCGGCCGAGATGCGACATGCTGAGGCGGTGTCCTGGGCCCGCGCCGAGGGCGCCCTCTCGTCGCTTTGGTTGTCGCTCGCCAGGATCGATTGGGTTTTCGTCGGCCCGTGTCACGTGCGCAGCGATGGCGGCGAGACCGGTCTCCTTGACAACGGTGGTCCCCTGGCAATGTCTATCAGCTGGTGGCAGGAGGTATCCAAATATGTCAGCGTCGCAATATGTTGGCGCACTACCCTCCCGCCTCCGGTGGGTTCCCGCCCTGGCGCCGTGCGCTGCGCCTGGGGCATGCGGGCGCGCGCTGCCCGCGGCGGGCAGGAGCTTCGCGGGCGCCGTGCCCTGTGGCCCCTGGCGCGGGCCCGCGCCGCCGTCGGGTTGGACGGTCCGGAGTGCTGACTCTGCGGCGCGAAGGAAGGCAGTCGCAGTCATGCGTGCTTCCATTGCTTCTCGCCTGACCAGGTCACGATCAATGATGAGCTCATGGAGCAGGGGGTGTAGACGGGCGACGGGCCGCGCTGCGGGCACGTTTCGCGCGGGCTGCCCAGCCTGCCGCCCCGCCCCGCCCGAGCGGGGGGCGTGGTGGCAGAGCGCGCCTGGGGCTCGGGCGAGCTGCCGTGGGGGGGCGTGCTCTTTGTGGGCGGCTCGGGTCAGAATTTGAGCTTCCCGGGGCTGCGCCGCCGCGGTTGGGCGGTCGCCCAGATCGGCCTGCCGCGCTTCCCGCCCGCGAAGGCCTTGCGCGGTGCCCTCCCTGGCCCGTTCCAGATGGCGCCGCGAGCCGAGAGGCGCGCGGGTCCTCGCGCCGCGCAGGTCTGGGCCAAGCCAACCCGCATCGCATCCGACCGCGTGGCCTTCGCCAGAGAGGCGCGGGGCTAGGCCGAAGCCCGCAGCAAGCCGAGGGCCGCTCATGCTGGGGCGCGCCGCCGCCTGCGCGCGGCCGTATGTGGCGATGCCCCGGGCCAGCCGCGGAGCGGGCCCGCGCCCGCGAGGCTTGGCAGACGCGGTGCCAGAGTCGGGCACTCTGGCCAATTGCATCGGCAATTTCTGGACCGACACCTTCGCCGAGTTGTGGGCAGTTGAGGCGGCTGTGTCTGCAGTGTACTCGCGCGCGTGCCAACTGGCCTTCCGCGACGCCAGGGATGCCGTGCGCTCCGTTGCCTGGGCCGCCGAGCGCACGCCCTGGCCGTCTCTTGCGAGCGCGGCCCAGGTGGCCGCGGGCCTGGCCGGCCTGGTGGCGCTGCGGCTGCGAGCGGGGGTGGGTGCGCCTTCCGAGCCGGCGCTGCTGGTCGCGAAGCACGACTTCATGTAATTGCCGAGTGGAGCGGTTAAGTGCGCCGTGTGCTACGGGTGCGCGACGACCTCGGAAAGCTACCGCGCGCTCTTCCACGCCCCCTGCGTCGCGCCAGCTTCCGGGCCTCTGCGCCGCGTCGAGCGGTGACTGCTCGTATCACCTATTCATATATCCTGCTATCCTCTCGGCTCAGGAATTGGACACCTTTCGCGCCCTTGCTTCCGCGGGCGCATGGAGACAAGAGACCCTCTTTCCTCCTTCTCGTCTTCTGCCTGCGGATCATACGGTAGGTTCGACTCTTTGGCTGTCAACCTCCGTTCGCAAAAGGGACATAATGGTCTGAAACTATTCGCCGAGGGCCCTCGCGCGTGAGTTTCTCGAACGGGCAGTGGGGGCGGCCGCGCTCCTCGGGTTCGCGCTGGCCTCGGCTTCCAGTTCGGTGGCCACTGGTGTTTCGCGGCCACCTTCGGCGTCGTGCGACACCACCACACGAAGAAGGTAACCTTGTCGTCGCTGGGCAAGGCTGCTGCTGCGCCCGCCCCGCTGCCCCGCGCGGCGCCCGCGTCCCAGCGGGCGGAGGCTTCGGACCCGCCCGCCCTCGGTGCTCGTTCCCTTTTTTGACGTCGGGCGAACATGGGGCGGGGCCTGTTGCGACTGCGTGGCACATGGAAAAAACGAGGTGGCTGACCAAGGCCTGAAGGCAAGCCAGTGACGCATGGCTGGCGCAGCGGAAAAGAGAAGTGCGCGAGAAACAGAACAAAACACAGTAAGCCCACATGGGCACAGAGTATGCGGCTGAAACGCTTTGAATCATAGTAAACCAAGAACCGAGAAACGAAACAAACGATGGAGAGGGCGAAATACACGTGCAACAGTGGTGGCTGGTGGTCGTTCCCCCCAATCGTCCTCCTTTCATCTGCCCCCAGCCACCATGCTTAGTCAAGCCTAGCAATGCAGAGAACAGTGAGCAAACTAACCGGCGACGTGTGTAGCATGGAGCAGATAGGCTGACACAGACAGTGCTGATTGGCTTGAGGCAGTGCATGTACGAGTGTAGACTAAAGCTGGCGCGCATGTAGAATCAGACGCACGCAGCAATTCTTGGGCTGCCACCTCGTTTTTTTTCGGTTCGCCGCGAACCTCTCTGGCCCCAGGGCCCATGTGCTTTTCGCAATTTTCGTCGAGTTTAGCACGAGCCCATTGTGACAGTAGCGGGCGGAACATGTATCGGGGTTGCCATGTCAAGTGGTTGGCCTGCGGATTCTACTGGTGCTGATGCTAGTCTTCAACCCCGCTGCTGATCCCCTGATCTCTACCTCCCCCTCTTCTTCTCGGGTCCATTATCTGCCCCTGGTGGCCACGTGCCTCGTGGGCCCACCACCGCGGCCAGGAATGGTGGCGCAGCGGACCGAGGAGCGTGGCTACAGTAAACCGCTGTTTATCTCTGGCTCCGCTGCGTTCGAAGGTGCACCACAAGATCGACGTGCTCGGTCCAACGCGGGTTGCAGAGAAAGCGACCAAACGCTGGCAATGAATGCCTGCTATATCACCTCCGTCCTCTGCCCTCCGAGACCATTCCTCCGAACATGGTAGCACAAGTGCCCTAGCCGATTGGTTTGGTAAGTACAGTTCCTGGCGGCCATCAGGAACTCAGGGCTGCGCCTTGACCGATCGTAAAGCAGATTGCGAACTGAACAGCTCTGAGTCCATGTGCTTGGGAGTGCGACGCCTATCCGAGGTGGAGAAAAAACTGATGTGCGATACGAGGTTTGATGATGCTGGCAGGGACCAAGAAAGCGATGCCTTTTGAACTCTGTGCATGGCGACGCCCTCATCGAGGGTCGCGCCTAAATCTGCTCTCATCGAGGGTCGGCCCCCCCAGGGGGTCTGGAAATTGTTCACAACCACCTCACCCCGCTCTTCCTCTTCACCTCCTCCACACCTCCCCCTCTGCACCTTGGGCGCCACGGCTGGCGGCTGAAAGGAACGGCCTCCCATGCACGCAAATCAATTGAGAGACGCCGACTCCGTGATCTGCCCTGGTGGCCACGGGCCTCATGGGCCCACCACTACGGCCAGGAAATGGCGGCGGAGTGGACCGAGGAGCGGGGCTACATTCAGTCGCTGTTCGTGCCCCGCGCCGCTGCGCTCGAACATTCACTGCAACATCAAGATGATCGGTCCACAGCACGCTGTAGAGAAAACAACCAGCCACTTGTGCTGGAATGACAGCGGCTGTCTCCTCCCGTAAGGCCTGCGGATTGCCCCAGAGGCTTCGGATCTCCCCCGAGGGCCCCGGAGGCGTCTGAAGGACCGAAAACGGCCACGCACTGCCCAAGCACATGGACCGAACCTCGCTCCCTCCACGACCCCCGAACCCCAGCCTCCACGGTCTCCCCCAGGTCTGCCGAAGTCGATTAATGGAGAGGAAGCATGCTGCCAAATAACTTCCAGATTTCTACATCATGTTTCAAACATGTTTTAGATATGTAAAAACAAGTCTGAAACATTTTCAGAACATGTTTTACACATGTTAATCACAGCTTTAATTCAGTTATAGGACTGTTAGAATGTCCAGTGTCATGGCATCCACAACCCCAGGTCTGAAGCATGCCTCCTGGCCCCGGCCGCAGCTGCGCACCAGAGGGGCCCCGCGCGGCCAGCGGGGTCGAACAGCGCAGGTCCCCCCCCCCCCGCCCCGTTGAGGTCCGCGGGGGTGCCGCAAAGCTCGCGAGGCGAGGCGGGGATTTGGACCGCAGGGTTAAGTCGGGCCTGTCCCTTTACAGGGGGAATAGTCAATAATAGTGAACAAATAGCCTGGGGACTATGTTTGGAGTATCTTTTTGGCCATTTTGGAGCATTTTTTGCGTGTTTTTTATTTCTCGCCCAAAGTCCCCCTGTAGGGGGACACGCCCGACTTAACCGTAGGGGCAAGTCGGGCGTGTCCCTCTACAGAAGGGATGTTCAAGAATAGTCCAAAAATATGATGGTAAAAAAACAGCTGTTGATTTTTGTTTGACTATTTCTTAGTTTTCGTCCAGAATTCGCCTGTAGGGGGATATGCCCGACGACCTAACCGTAGGGGAATTCCGATGGCAAAAGCATACCTACGCG